GAGCCCTGTGTACTTTTCGAAGTTGAGGTTATGCACTAGATCACTTTTCCACTCCCAGCTTAATATTATGCATTGAGTTACATGATAGCAGGGGATGCGGGGATAGTGTTGTAGAAATACTGACAAACATTATTTACTCAGAAAACCAGGGCTTGCATTAGGCCTCCCAGAGGAAGCATTTGATGAGAGGCAAAGGCAGAAACATCATTTCTCAGTATTCACAACCAAACACCTGTGCTCAACTCCTTTTTTGGGGGGGTGGTTTTCAAGACAGGGTTTCTCTATTGTTTTGGTGGCTGTCCTGGAACTCACTCTGTAGCCCAGACTGGCCTCAGACTCACAGAGATCCACCTGCCTCTGCCTCCCGAGAGCTGGGATTAAAGGTGTTCACCACCACCACCCAGCCAGCCCTGTGCTCGACTCTTAAATGCAGAGAGAACTTGAAAAGGAAGACCAAAAATGAGTTCACTGGACTTGGAATTTTGAGGGGAGCCCTGTCACCCAACCTCAGCTCTCTGCCCTACTAAAGGAGTTTTCTAAGAACTGTGTGTGTGTGTGTTGTGTTTGTTTGTGTGTGCATGCATTTGTATGTATGTGTCTGTGCGTGCATATGTATTGTGTGTATGTCTTTCTGTGTGTGCATGCAAATGTGTGTGTGTCTGTGTGCCTCTGAGTGTACATGCATGTGTTACACAAGTCCATGCCGGCACTTGCTAGGCTGTGTCTGACTGTGGGTCTGACCTAGATGCTGTTTCCTTACTCATGAATATTTTCACTTCTTGTCACTAAGCTCACAAGAACAAGGCTTTTTAGAATGCAAAAACCATAATGTTTAGAGTAAAGACAAGGGATCATAATTGTCACTTTTTATTTTAAAAGAGTGATATTTAGATGTTTTAGGATAGATGTAACCATTTATTGATTTGCTGGAAATAGAGCTATTTTGAATTCACAACTGAGACCTTTTCCAGAAAAGTATTATATATTCAATTAAAATTTTTATATAGTTCTTCTTGTTTTTGTTGTTTGGTTGGTTTGTTTTGTTTTTGTTTGTTTGTTTGTTTGTTTTGAGACAGAGTATCTATGGGTAGCCCTAGCTGTCCTAGAACTTGCTCTGTAGATCAGACTGGCCTCAAACTCATGGAGCTCCACCTGTCTCTGCCTCCTCCCAAGGAATTAAAGTTATGTGTTATCACCACCCAGCTAAAAATTTTGTGCATTTCTAATAAATGCAATAGTAATGGAAATGATTTCCTTGGAGGGGGATTAATTATAAATCTGCAGAAGCAGGAAATTCAGTCAAGATGAGTAATGAAAATTATACCTCTTTGAAATTTATCTCCAAATATTTGCTAAGAGAAAGCAAAAATAACCGTGTGTGTGTGTGTGTGTGTGTGTGTGCAGGTGTGCACCATGTTCCCCTTCCCTTACAAATGCTGTCTGGGTTTGACTCAGACTCATTGGGGGTACCCTGGAACTTTTCACACTCTTGTTCAAGCCCCTATGTCAAGAAAAACATTGGTGTCTTCCATGGCACCAACAGACCCTGGCCGTGTCACACATACTTGACCCCTCAGGGTTAAGGCTCACATCTGGGTTGGTCTGTCCTTAGTTTCATTTGTGACAGGCACACTGTGCTCTGTAAGTGTTGCCACCCAATGCCAACTATAGCTTGTGGTAGGCATTTGTAAGTCATTCCAATAACCCTGTTGCACGGGTGTTGATAACTGTGTGTGTCCATTTCAGTTGGATATCTTAAAATAACCTGTAAGTCTGGAAGAGCATCACTGGAGGAAGGAGGCTGGGATTTGCATTAAACCGAAAAGAAAAGGACAGAACAGGGAACTCCTGGGGTTAGTCAGGCTTTCTGACTTCCAGAAGAAGGGAAACTGCAGAGGGTACTGAAGTCGCCTCCCGTGGCCGTGGCCGTGGCTGCAGTCATGTGGCCCAAACGTTCACTGAGCATACACTCTTACATTCCACAAAGGCCTAATGTAGATCTGCCTTCCCTTTGCCTGTGACTCTACACCGAGTGAAGTCCAAGCAGCATCACTGTCTGGCTGGAAAACACGTTTCAGCAGGTGCCATGCCCCTCCGACTGAGGCCAGCTTCCTGAATGAGCAGAAGGAATCTGACCGAATGCTTTTGGTAATTTCTAGTGACTGAGATACTTGTCAGTGACAAATACCAATATGTGGGTTTATAAGTAAGCAAAAAGCCTCGGGTTGAGCTGTATGTGGCTTTCACCGCAAGTCTGGATTTTTAACCCTAGGAATCACTACTCAAACCAGTTACAGATGAGCCCCGGGTGTGGTTCCCATAGCTCTGTGCACTTTTACCTGATTAGGCGAGCATGCTCGTAGGAACAAGACAGTGTTTTAAAATGCATTTATTAACTTTTAAGCACACGCCCAGCAGCTTTACGAAGTTTCTCGAATGTGACGTTCAGATGGACTTAGCTAAAGGTTAATTTATACCTCGTGAGTCAGGTCATTTAGATATGCTAGGGAGATAGATGCCCGTTAGGAGTAAGCTGTAAAGTAGGACTTGGTCTGGACTCTAGGATTCCCTTCAGACCTAATGCTTCATGCACAGAGCCCATGGGTGGTGGTGGTGGTGGGGTACGGAAGAGATGGCAGCCGTCCTGTGGATACTGGCAGATTTGACATTTCGTTCCTTTGGGTTTGTTCAGCTCATCATCAGATAGCCTTTTTTTTTTCTCCTCCGGAAACAGAGTATAACCCATCACCCTGCCCCCTCCCACACAACACATACTCTGAAGTTCATAGGTAGGACACAGGCAGCCAGAGCACCAGCCTAGACTGGCCCCCCCACACACACACACACTCGGCTCCCTCCCACCTAGACAGCCAGGCCTCTGGCCTGGTGGCTGTCATAGTCTGCACTCTGTCCTGACCTTTGATGAGGGGACTGGGTCTCTGCCCCAGGTGTTCACATTCCCCTGTTCTTGACCTCAGGGGCTAGCCTCAACCTACTTCCCTGTCCAGACTGCTGTTTTACCGGCAGAGCTGCAGGAAACAACCGTGGGAGGATTTACACTCACCTGTATTCTCAACGTGGTCAATCTTTGTGGGTTTTTTGAGATAAAAGTCTTAGAGTCAAACAGAACTTGTGATCACGTGAATGTTTTTTTCTAGTTCTGTGTCAACCACCTAGTTATATATCTAATTGACTACCTCATTGTACTGCTAAAAGTATAAAGCATTGTTTGAGATAGTCTCACTCACTCTGTAGTTGTAGCTGGCCTGCAACTCGACAACCAGCCCTAAAATGCCTTTTAGATAGAAATGTGAATAAACTTTAATGTTCATTTAATGGCTTCCAACATAATTCTTCACAGACAAGGATCAAGTTTCCTTAATGGGCTTAACTTTAAAGAACACCCTTTTCATTTTCCCTCCCTCCTCCTTTTCATTTTCTTCCTTGGATAAGTAGATAAGAGAAAATAAGTATTTCCATATGTGTGGTGTAATATGGTGTGGTGCATATGATTTCTTAATTGAGCGTCTGTCCTGTGTGTTCTAACAACACGAGATTTTTCTACAGCCTGAACCCCCAAGTCTTCAATTTCCAAGTGATACATTCTCTGCCCTGTCTACACCGGGGCACCTGTGCAGTGGCCTTTCCGCTGGGCTCCAGCATCCTCTGCAGTTTCCAGGTTTGAACTGGTGAGTGGTCCTCTCACAGCTCAGGATGCAAGACTCTGTCAGCAAGCAAGCCAGCCGGCAGGTGTTCCGCCTTTTTAAAAAGTACAGTGAGGAGCTTTTCTACCGTCTTAGCTCACCCGGTCTGCAGAGGAGCCGGCAGTGCTTGGGCGCTGGAAGACGACTCACCTGAAGCTGCGTTGGCAGAAGATTCATCACCAGACTTGTAGCCAAGGGTGCTGGGAGCGAGTACCCCTCCCTCGTTTATATGCAGACCTGGTCAAAGGACAGGGAAAGATGGCTAACACGTCTCCCGCTTATTTAGCCGGGAGCTTCGAGCGAATGACAAAGCCCGCCCACTCCCCCCCCAGGTGAATCACTCCCGGTTCCCAGCGAGGCAATGCTTATTTAATAAAGCTGTTTATGGAAACTCCTCAAGTGTGTGGTCCCCATCCCCACAGCGTGTCACTGCTGCCGCCAAGTGACAAGTCGGAAATATCGGCAAACCCTAACCACTGGAGCCTTCGTTCTTCCTTCCCAAGCCAGCCCCCCACCCCCACCCCGTTATCGCTCAGGAGGTTCTGTCCCCCTCTCCCCTAAATCTTGCTGCGCCTGTGCGGGTGTCCTTTGAACGCGGAGTTCTAAGGAAATGCCGTGGATCGTTAAGAAAACAGTTTCTCCGGTGACATCCGTTCAATTTTAGGGTTAAGGATGTTTGGGTTTTGTTTCTCACATGCGTTCCGGTTAGTCTCTCAAGAGTCTCATGCGAAAATCAGGGCAGGCCAGAGGAGGGGGAGTTCTCTCGTCCTAAACCTCATGGATCTCACACATCCCCAAACTCTGGGAACACGGGAGTCCTGGGGGGGGGGGCGGGTTCCGTGCAAAGACATCTCTCTCCAGCCCACCTCATTCTTGAACTGGGCTAAGAGCTTTTCAATTGCCGTGACATTTTCAGCCGGGGAAGAAGTAGTACTTGCTGCGGTGCAATGTTTTACAGGCAATTACTTTATATGATCAATGGAGCAATTCCCTTTCCAGAAAGGAACCAAAGCGATCAAGTTAAATCATTAAAGAGAGAAAGAGCGAGCGGGGAGAAAAAGGGTTCATCTCATTACCAGGTACCGGAGCTGCAGCCCTCTTCCTCCCTCCCCCCCCCGCCCCCGCGGTAGCACCACACAAAGTGCCTGGCCCTTTAAGACAATGACTGCGCCTCCCCAGCCATCGCCCCCCCAACCCCACCCGCCCTCCCTCCTGCCTCCCTTCCCAGTAGCTGTTGACGGGCCTAAACCTCCAAGCAGCCCATTGTGGCGGCCACAGTAGGAGGGACCTGCAGAAAATGTGCCAAAACCAGGCAGGGGCTAGCGGCTTTCAATAAGCCCCACAGCTGGAGAGGAGCCGCTACGCTAAACAGCAGGGCTGGGGACCAGGCGTGCGATGGGGAAAGGGGTCAAACCCGACGCCTCCTCCGGGCTTTCTGAGCTCAGTGTGGTTCGAGGGGATGGCACCTTCTTGCTGGCTTTTCTCTATTTGCTTAATACGCAGAGGTATTTAGCTTAAAAGCACTAAATGCTTCACGGCAAGGAGGAGGTTCTCCCTCCCTCCCTCCCTGCCTCCCTCCTTCCCTCCCTCCTTCCCTCCTTCCCTTCCTCCCTCCACTAAATGTTACTAAGTGCAGCCTAAGCCTTTTCTCTCTCTCCCTGTCCCCAAGCTCAGGTTGTTTTCTTTTCTTTTTTCTTTTTTCTTGCTTCTGTCCTGTGGCTCATCACAGACATTCTCCCACCACACCCCTCTTGCTTGACTTCACTCATCACTGATTCAGAGACCGGCGTGGCCCATGCTTCCAGCCCAGGCACTCTGTACAGCGCCCATCTGCATCTTCTCTTAAGTTCCGGGAGCGGGACTCCTGCGTCCCCCACGCGTCCGCCCTGTACCCGAGGCCGTTCTCAGGGCTTCCCGCAGCCCAGACGGAGACGAGGCCTGCTTCCCCTTCTTGCTGTGTGGGGTCCAGAAGAGGGAATAAATAACTCGTTTACCGGTGGTTTTGGGAGAGTCGTTTTACATCCCCGTATATACCTTTTGAGAGTAAAATAAGCGGGGGGGTGCGGCGGAGGGGGGGCAGGAAGGGACCCGAGGTGCTCTGGTTGCTGTGTCCGAGCTCAGCGTGGCTCGGCTGGGATGACATCTTCTTAGGAAATAAGGGCAAGGTTTTTTTTGGGGGGGTCTGCCCCACCAAGAAAAGTCAGGGATGAGAACGCACTTGGTGGGTTCCTGGCTCTGGCAGCTCTCACCCAGCCGTAACTCCTGACATTCAGATAGCAGTGTAATGTATCCACGGAGCATCCATCCCCTCTGCATCTTACAGACGAAAGCATCCGAGGCCCAAGGCCACAGGACAGGGAGGTACTGGGCTCCGAGGTACCCGGCGCCAAGAGCCAGGCCCCTCTGCCATCCCCCCTCCCAAACCATCAGCCAGAAGGACTTAGGAGCCACAAGGAAACCACCCTGCAGCACCCGCGTTCACAGTGAAACTCTCTCTTTTCTTGCCCTCCCGCAGATGGAGAGTGTCGGCGTGTACGGATTCTGCGGGTGCAAAGGGAAGAGCAAAATAAAGCGTGACTCCAGGTGGGAAATAACCGCAGCAGGTAGGAAACCGAACTGGTTTCGAGTAAGTACGGGGACCAGGCTTCTGGAAAATAAAAAAAAAACCGACCCCGGGGACTGGCACATTGGCACCTAGGTACATCAGCGACCGGGACTCCTCCTCTGGGGCAGAAGGCACAGCTGGACCAAGGGAAGGGTCTGAAAGCGTGCGTTTCACAGGGGCCTGTGGACGGATTGACGTGTGGAGTGTGGGGCCCCGGAGTCTGTCTCCTCCTCCTCCTGCGCCGGTGGCCCCCCTGGGGATCAGCTACATGGGGTGCCATATGCAGGCAAGAAGAGACCGCCTTTCTGGCGTCCTCAGCTTGTTTATGCTTTAACACGTCTGTCCCCCCACCCCACCCCAGAGGATAGTCTTCCTACCCCCTCCTTCCTCAAGTCCACCACCCCCCACTTCGATTCAGGAGAAAACAAGTGGGCTATTCATGCAAAAAGTGAAAGAGTAAGGGGAGGGGGGCGATGCCACCACCGACAGACTCCATTGAAGGCCACTGGCTGTTCATTTACATTCACACTTTTCTTTAAAAATGTTAACTAATGATGTTAAATGGTCCGCCAAAGGTCCTGGCAGGTCAGTTGTAGAAGTGTCATTTCTGCCTAATTAGGGCTCTTGTGGCTGCCCCCCGGGCCCTTCCAGTGCAACTGGTGACAAACGGGAGCTGACAGCTTCCATAGCTGCCCTGAGGAAGGTCGGGGCTGGCTGTGTTTTCCAACTCAGCCAGGTGTTGGCTGCCTGGGGGAGGGGGCCAGGCGGGATCCTAGCCAGCCTCTAGGATCCTTTTTTCCTTCCACTCTGCCCTCCCTAGGTCCTTCCCCTTTTGCCTGTCTTGTCTTCTGTCAAGGTCAAGAATGGGCTTTGCTAAATCAGCCATTTGGATTATCTCTGGGAGGTCGTTAGCGGCCCCGGCCCAGACTTTTCAAGTGGTCCCCAGACCCCCCAGATGCTAGGGGTTTTTTTGTTTGTTTGTTTTTTGTTTTTTCACCCTCCCCCCAAATTGGGGAAAGGACAAGAAAAAAAAAAGTCTCAGAATGCTCTGCTTGGCCGCCCAAGTGTTAAGACTCGCCAGCCAGTAAAACTGCTTAAAGGGGGCAGCTGCGACACTCCGGCCACTGCTTTAAATGCTGAAAAGAAGAGAGTGGCAGGAGCAATTCCTACTGGGTCCCCTGGGCTGGACTGTACTTGCCACACAGTAGGTCCCTGCTCTGTTGTTTGACGGTTTGAGAGACAAAGTTGAGAAGATTTAGAAGCTGTGCTGTTCTGGGCTGAATTTCCCAGTTGCTCCTAAAGTAAGCAGGAACTTGTAGGTTGATATGGTCACCTTGTTTCTTTGTTTTGTTTTGCTTTGCTTTCATAGCAAAAAAAAAAAACACACACACACACACACACAACCGAGCTAAACAACAACAGCCGCCCACCAAGATGACCCCACAGCAGTGGCAGGGCACCCGGGTCCTGCATCTGACTGAGCCTGTCCCATCCTCCCTGGTTGGGTGTGAATTAAACACAGAAACACTTGAGAACACATGCGCACCACGTGCACAGACTCTAGAGCACATTGTTGGGTCTGTGATGCAACAGCAGGATAAAACACGGGCTCTTGGGGGAACAATGCCACCTTATGGGGGAAACTGAGCGGGGTGGGGGGGATCAATGCCTAATGACGAAAATCCAAGACGAAATGAAAATGCAGAGGTCTGAAGAGGTGAGGAGTGCTTGAGGGGCGGGGCCTATAACCCAGGAGAACCTTCAGCTTCTCTGGCTGGCCTTTCCCCTTCCCCAGCCACCGCTGCTCCTGTCTGCTCTCACACCGCGCAGTGAGAACCGGGCCCTGAAAAACTGATCATCTCTGCCTGGTGGCTTTTTTTTGTCAGGGGCGGGTCACATAGCTCAAACGGGGCGATGGCACACATAAGCGCTTCTGGGTCAACACTCTGCACCTACCTACCGGGGTGCTGGATGCCACTGGCAGGAAATCTCTCCCTGCCTCCGTGGCCTGAGATTATTGGGAAACAGCAGCAGCAAGATGCTTTCTCTGGTCGCCGGTGGCGGCGAACCTGCTTCCTTCGTGGAGAAAGAGACCGGACCCTCTCTGCTCTCTTGCCTCTTCAGAGCCTGGCGCAGAAGGCACTCGGGACACATTTGAACCAAGGGAACCGGCAGGATTGGTGGACAGGCTTCCCTCAGGAACCAAGCACTCGAAGAGACTGTCCTGGATGTATCCCAGCTTCCTTTGTCTACTCTGCCCAGGGCTGGGACAGGGGTGGCCCTCCGCCACTAACTTTGGGTCTTATGCGTGCTCCTCCCCTGCCCCCCAACCTCATCATGCCACACAGTGAATCTCTTCTCTTTGGTGACCTTCTCTGTGTCTCTCAGAGTTCTTGGGGGCTGATGTTTATTTCCTAGTGCTCTCTGTCCAGTATGTGTGACTTCAGCTCCAAAGAACAGTTCTAACCCTTCCTGGGCTCTGCCTCCCACACCCAGCTCCATTTTGGAGTCCTGACCCTGGAAGCTGCAGTTGCAGCCAGCCTCCTCCGGGGGCAGGCCATGGCTGCGCGAGTCTTGTCAGTGTGGAAAAAACGTGGCCACTTAAGAGTCTCTGTGTGGTTCAGAGGATAGGAATTTAAAAAATCATCGGGAAAGGATCAGTGGTAAAGAAAACCTTTCGTAGCATCTAAGTCAGAAGGGGGGGGGAGGGAACAAGCCAGGGAGTTACGAAAACGGAAACGAACAGGATGCTTTTGGTCACGCAGAGCAAGGATCATGCGGATGGCAGCAGTGGTCACCGCATCCGTGACGCTGGAAAGGTCAAGTCATGTTCGGTTGATTTTACCGAAACTCTGTGGAAGGCAGATCTGATTTGTGGTCCTACGGTTGTGAGGATCTTGAGCATCCTCTTGAGATCTGACCCTAGTTCTCCTTTGACTTGGAACCCTTACTCTGGGGATGGCAGTGCTCTGGACCTGTTGGGATGTATCACGCCTCGAGGCCTTTGAAAAAATGGCTCTCAGTTGAGTCGCTTGCCCTTCCTCTCCACGGTCTTCTCACAAGCACCTGCTTCTAGAAAGACTCAGCTCTGCCCACCATCCTCCGCAGAGCTCCTTCCTAGGCCTCTCAAGTTAGGCTGGCCTTCCCCACTCCCATTTCACGTCCTTCTCAATAATGATAATTAATGGTGACACAGGGTAGCGACAGGCCTCCTGGGGGCCCGGAAGAATAAGGGCTGTCAGTGCTGTGTCAAGTAAGATGGACACCCCAAGAAGGCGGCCCCTCTGTTGTAGATACTCAACCCAACAGCAAGGGCTCTGCAGCTCGAGCTGTATTCGGGGGATCACGTGCTTTCCAAGTAGTGAAGTCAAGACCCAAGCCCATCTAGCATGGGCCAAGCCCATCTTGGCTGCTCTCAGTTTAGACTACAGAAGACATCCCGCCTCCTCCTCTTGCAAATGGCCACCATGCCGTCGGGTGATGGCATTTGGGCTTTCTGTTTGTGTCCTCTCTGAATGGTGAGTTGTTTTGAGCTGGTGACACTCACTGGTTAAATCTTGTGGCCAGCCGAGGACTGAAAAACAGCGGAGAGTCTTACTGTTGGTTAAGTTTAATAAAGCTGAATCATGCTAAATGTTCATGCATTTGCATGTGTCTGTCCTTTCCCCTTGTCTGCTTGTGTGTATGCCTGCATTTAACACATGTATGTGTCGCGCCTGCCGTGCGGCCTGTGTCCGAGAACGTGCGGAGGGTGTCGGGGATTGACAACACAGAGACTCGTTCAACGATGTAAAGAAAACTTTAAGCAGGCTCCAAAAAGGTTCAAGAAAACTTCCTAAGAAAGGCTCCACCAGAGAAGCTTCTGCTCTCTCCTCTACCCTGGCTGGTTCTGCTCTGACCCCAGAAACTGATCTGGGCGTGGCAGAAGAGGCAGTTAGTCTCTGGACAAGGTAGAGCTCAGGGTGGTTTCTGCGGGCAGGCCTTTTCCAGGAACTTAATGCCCCCAGGCATTGTATTGTTTTTAGTAAACATTGTCTTACAGCTGCCTACTCCCAGGCCGAAGGGGAAGTGGGTCTCTGCTCAAGGTCTGGTGTTCCCACATGTATGTATACACTTACGTGCATATCTCATACATATGTGCACAACATACTCACGTTCTATATGCCATACGCCAGTATGGACACATGCATGCATGTGCATGTGAACATGCCCTGCACCTGTAGCCACAGAGTTTGGAGTGGAAGGGAGGATCCATTGCAGTCTGGGAGCATACAAACACGATACGTGGTCTCACTGACTTTGAATTTTGCCTTCAGCTGGCTGCCCCGAGGAGTGAATGCTACCACCCGCATCTTGGCCTGCATGCTCCTTGAGACATGCCTACAAACTCCCCAGTGTCTGTCCGGGTGGTCTCGCTATGTTTAGGTCAGAAGGCCCACCGGAAGAGGGGCCTCGGGGAACATGGCAGTTTTCCACTTTGCCTTCCACATCATCTGAGGTGGAGAGAAGACAAACCCAGCTGTTCAAGCATTTTCCATCCCCATTCGAGCCCCCGAACCTGCTTGTTAACGGTGGTGAGCCAGGCAGTGACCCGCAATGGGAGGCAACTGTCACAGCCTGGAGTCACCTGGAAAGTGGAGGGATTCAATTGAAGGGTCACCCAGAAGAGATCTGCCTGTGGACACGTCTGCTCGGGGAGCCATCTTGGTTGTTGATTGATGGTGGGGGGGCTCGTTCCACTGTGGGTGTAACCATTCCCTGGGCAGTTGGTCCCGGGTTTTCTTAGAATCCTTATTAAGTGGTTGATTGATTCCTCTGGTATAGGGACCACCTGCGTGTGCCACTCACCCCCCAGGGCCTCGCTCCCCGCCGCGCTGTGCCGTGTCCAGACCTGCAGCCCCTTCCGCCGGTCTCTCCGACATACAGAGCCCCAGCAGGGTGTGGAGGCCCTGACGAAGAAAACAAGAAGACACACTGGTGCTCTTCCTACACTTCCCC